CACATTTATACAGAATAGTTGTATGTGTTACAAATAAAGCTCATGTTGCAAACTAAGTAGCATACCTCAGAATGTAATTTTTATTGGAAAACCACTTGAACAATATTCATCCATACTGATCTAAAAAAAGAAAAAGAAAAAAAAAGACATGCTCTAATGAAAATGTTGATCATTCAGAGTTATTATGAGAAGAACATAAGGTATGGTCCACCTTCAAGGAGGTTAAAACTGGTGCAGGGATGGGCCAGGGCACAGTGTTGTGGAAGTAAGATGCGGAAAGGGCACAGGTGAAGCTGAAATAGAGGATCCATGGGAAGAGGCTTTATAAATTATCTGAACTTGAACTGGGTCTTTTAAATGTGTAGGAAAATAGAGTAGTTAGGCTAAATGTAAACTGGATTCCCCTCCTGCTTGTGGGTCACTTTGAAGGTCTGGCTAACGAAGCTTATTTTAATACAGAAAGACACAGAAAGCTTCGGGTAGGGAAGTCCAGGATTTGGCAGCGAGATGTTTAGGTGGCATAGCTGCCTAGAGGAGAGCTAGGCTATGGAGTTCAGTAGTTAAGACTCCGTCTCTGGACAGACACCCCTTGGTTGCCTGCTGCCCCTCTTGCTGGAGCTCCCTAAGAGCAGGGACTGCATTTCACTCTCCTATCACTAGTGCTTGTCTCTTGGGTCCTCCAACGATGGCTGTGTGGATGCAGTATTGACATCCAAGGAAAAATTGCATGAAGCTCTGACCTAGGAGGTGGATGAGGAGTCTTGCATCTCTTAATTATAGTCTATGAACTAGACTCAATCTTTTTTTTTTTAATTTTTCTTTATTGTTGAAAGTATTGCATATGTCCCCTTTATTTCCCATTGACCCCCTCCACCCTGCTCCCCCCCACCCTCAGGCCTTCACACTATTGTCTGTGTCCATGGTTATGCATATATGCATATAAAGTCTTTGGCTAATCTCTCCCCAACCACCACCCCACCCCCACCATCCCTCTGAGCTTCAACAATCTGCTCCATGCTTCTATGTCTTTGGATCTATTTTGTTCATCAGTTTATTTTGTTCATTAGATTCCACATATGAGTGAGATCATGTGATAGACTCTTAATCTGGAATTAGCAACAGACCTGAGCTGAGGAAGCCTTATACATTTCACTTATAGGCCGACTATTCTGAAGTCTAACACTGGGGCTCCTGTTTGGTGTCCTAAGAACTTCTTCTGAAGTATTTGCAAAGGAGAACTCTGCCAGCTGTGAATACCCAACTGTTCTAACCAGAGGTGGCTCCTAATAAATGAATAAATACTGAAATCACAAGCTTTTGTAGTACCTTTTCCTGCCTTTTGATTGTTAAAGATCCCTACATTAAGAAATCTTCCATTCTGTTTCTTTGATTAAAAGAAAATTTTAATGACAAGCTCTTTCTTCTGACAAATTCTTCTGGTTATAAAAAGAAAAGCTGGTTTTTAAGCATTGTGGTTTATACCTAACAGTAAAGGAAGCCAAAAGATAGAGTACTAATTAGGTCTGATTTGGGGCCTAAACTTTCTAAAAATGTATTCTTTTCCCTTAAAACAAAAGAGGTCTGCCTCCTCAGGCCTCCTTTTTCTTTTTGAGAATTTTATATTCCCTGACGGTTGTTTTTGTCTCAAGGATCATAATGTTTAGTGATCTGTTCAGGGCAATGCTAGAATTCCAACTTCCATTTCAAAGGTGTTTATGGTTTATATTCCTCTGTGGTCAGCATAGTGAAGTATTAATGGACCAAAGTCAGTTAGGAGGAGGGTCTGTCAGTGTGACAGTTCAGTCCCAGGGTGGCTCCTAACTAGTGATAAAGACGTGGCAGATTGATCCAATTGGCTGCTCTTATGCTAAGAAGGATGTCTTACCTAACAACTGAGAACCCAGATAATTAACATGCCAGAAACTGATAAGGAATAAAATTTGTGGAGTTACGAATTTGGTATGTCTTTCAAATTAACTCTTAAACCCACATCTCCACCTTATACATAAATCAGACTAGATTATATATAAATTAAAGACAAAGATTAGTTGAATTTATCCTCTAGATAGATGAGATAGGCAACTCTTAAGCTATATTTTTTAAAATATATTTTTATTGATTTCAGAGAGGAAGGGAGAGGAAGAGAGAGATAGAAACATCAATGATGAGAGGGGATTATTAATTGGCTGCCTCCTGTACGTTGGACCAAGCCTGCAACCCAGGCATGTGCCCTTGATTGGAATCGAACCTGAGACCCAATGTTCTATCCACTGAGCCCAACCAGCTAAGGCTTAAGCTATATTATTTTTTAAAGATGCACAAATACAAGAGGTTAATGTGATGTTGTTAGATTATATCCCTATCTTAGGTTATCACTTTCTTAGAAAGACATAGACAAAAGGGTGTGTCCAGAGGAGAGGCTAAGAGGATCAGGATGAGAGATCTAACTTGGCTGGCACTTTCAAAAAGATTCTGGCAAGGGCGGGGGGAAAAAAAGGACACATATGTAATACCCTTTGTAATACTTTAAGCAATAAAAAAAGCACTTTCAAAAAGATTCTGAAATATTTTAAAAAACATACCTGACATCTCCCTATAGTTGACCCAAGGAAAGACCAATTATAGGGAGATATATTTGACCTCAAACTTCATCACATCCAGAACTGCAAAATATGAATGTATTAGCCAGTAAATGCGCTTATTTGGAGAGGTGATGTTACATGACTGGGGTACAGTGATAGGAAAGCAAAGATATCAGGCAGGAAGCTGGGCAGGGCTTCTGAAGTCTAGTCTTACCTTCAAGCTCTATATACTTAATCACTTGGAGTGACTCACAGTGAATTCCTTTAAGACTTTCAAAGACATGAATTGAAACAACCATGATCATGAACTCAGCCAGTCTGTAAGGGTGATCTGTGACATGAATGATATAAACAACAGTAAGATTTCATTTAATTAAGGGGTCAATGAAGTTGAGACATAAATAAACAGGCACAGGTGGGGAAGGGGGAGGGAGGACCTATTCAACTGGAAAATGCACTCACCGAGGGGATGGGAGATCATCGTCAACCTGTTTGTCAAAAACCAAAATCTCACGGGAATTGTGATAACCCTGGTCATTTTATGTAGCTTTTTCATTTGTAGTCACAACATGGACTAACACTTTCTTTCTCTCTTTTTTTTTTCTCTTTCCAAATGTGATAGGAAAGCAAAGATATCCTGTTAGTGGATCTAAACTCTGAAATCAACACCAATCAGAATTCTTTAAGAGAAAATTCATTAACAAACGGCATCACCTCCTCCTCTCTTCCTCGACCAAAGCCTCAGGCGTCTTTCTTGCCCGAAAATGCCTTTCCTGCCAATCTCCATTTCTTTCCCACCCCCAATCCCGACCCTTTCCGTGATGATCCTTTTGCACAGCAGGACCAATCGCCACCCTCTTCATTTGATTCTCTCAAATCTCCAGATCAGAAGACAGAGAATTTGAGTGGCTTGTCTACTCCGCTGAGTAATGGGCCCCTGAATGGGGATGTTGATTACTTTGGTCAGCAGTTTGACCAGATCTCTAACCGGACTGGCAAGCAGGAAGCTCAGGCAGACCCGTGGCCCCTCTCCAGCCCGCAAACCCAGCCAGCAGTGAGAACTCAGAATGGGGTCTCTGACAGAGAACAGAACGGCTTCCATGTCAAATCCTCCCCGAACCCTTTTGTGGGAAGCCCTCCCAAAGGACTGCCCGTGCCAAATGGCCTAAAGCAGGACTTGGAGAGCTCTGTCCAGTCCTCCACACATGACTCCATAGCCATTATCCCACCTCCACAGAGTACCAAACCAGGAAGAGGCAGAAGGACTGCCAAGGTGAATTGTCTTCTCCGCATGTCCGTGGGCAGAATGCATGTTCGCTGTCCCAGGGTGGTCTGAGGCCAGCTGTCTTTCCTGCTGCTATTGTAGTTTCCTGTGTGGCTGTACTCTATATAGAAGGTGGGGTGAGCCTGTCATCCCCCAGGAATACCTTCCTCTAATCACCACCCTTTCAAAGCTTCGCGCTCAGCAGCGTTGTCGCGGCCTGCTTTCCCTCTGCATGCCTTGTCTCTTATTATTAACTAAACACAAGTTTTTTTCCGTTTTTAATGCTGCTATGCTTCTGTACCTCTGGTAAGTTTGATGGTCACGTTCTGGGAGCGGAGGGCAAGGGTTCTTGTGATTCCCCTTATCCACACCTTCCCCGCACTACCGCGCGCCCCGCACACACCCCTCAGGTTGTGCTAATGACCAAGGTGGGGGCGTCAAATTCTTGAGTTTGTCTCCTCTATTAAAAGTTGACTGAATAATCCATTGTCTTAAAAGATACCTGTATTTACTGTTACCACTTCATTCAAAAGCAATTTAAAATGTGGTTTCTGTTAAGTATTATTTTTTAATCTCTTTGGAATATGTAGGCTGGCCTAATGATTAGACTAGTGTATCAAGGCCATGCAGACTGATTCAAATCCACTAGAATGGTCAAACACATTTAAGCGACTTATTTATAACTGTCCCTTTCCCAGCTTCAAGCTTTTAGCTGGCAAGGAGACCGGGCAGACACAAATGTGTAAATAAGTAAATTAGATTTCACTTTGAGAGTCCAAGACCTCGTCTCCTGCCCATTGCAGGGATCCTTGTCCTTTTGCTTTGGTTGGTTGGTTGGTTGGTTGGTGTTTTGTGGTAGTCCATCAGTATAGGAAGTGGTTTTTCTGTGTGGTTCCCGATTTGAGGTACAGAGTAGGAGACAGAATGACACTGCGTTTCTCTGTTGCTGAGTAACTCCTTTATGTCCCCCTCTACCCTGTCAGTCTCCAGCAAATGACTTGCTGACATCAGACATCTTTGCTCCTCCGGACTCAGAACCTCCAGGCCAGGCATCACCTACGGGACAATCTGCAACCCCACAGACCAACCCTCTGGATCTCTTCAAGACCAGTGTTTCTCCCCCTGTGGGACCCCTAGCAGGTCTAGGTAAGGGCCCGAGATCGAGTCAGGTTTGACTCTGTTATTTTCACTCCCAGGACGATAGTGCCTAGAAGGAAGGCACTTCATTTCCTTAGAGGTTTCAGGGGCATAAAACTGAAGCATCTTAGAGAGCCTTTCTCCCACTCTTCCTTCTGTACAACCTCACCCCCATTTGGTACCCTTGGATGTAAATGAAATTTGGCTTCTTGAATTGGAATGTGAGAAGAAATCCATTTTCAATATTGTACTTATTTGAACCAACTGCTCACTAAAGACAATTATGAGGGGTTCTGAAACACAGCCCAGCTTCATTGGAGCTAAGATGACAGAGCCTTATTTATCGTCTCTATTAGAAAAGTAAGAACGTGCGTGTCTTCCATGTAAGTTGCCATTTCTAGCTTGAAGCCCTCTTCCCTATTAAATGGCTACCCCTCTTAGAAGGGACATATACCCTGTGAGGGATATAAGTAAAGTCTGAAGCAAGTGTAAGTCATAGAATGAAAGTCCTAGTTTCTGAGCCCAGCTCCACCCCTGGTATCTGGAGGGTGTGGACGGGCATAGATCCTATCTGCCTCTGCCTACTTAAGCCTTAGCAGCTCTTTGCCAATATTCTGGCGAGCTGAGTGTCTTAATAGAGTAAGAAGTAAATGCTGGAAATGTGACGTTGAAAAGAGCATAGAGATATGGGAAGAGGTGGGACTTTTTCAGATAACTAGGATGTGCTGGTGCTGCCATTCATATATGTGTCACTAGCTCCTGTGAGCCACTGAGCCACTCTGTGGCAGGACACTGGGGAAGGCCACATGCCTAAGGGCTGGCCCTGCTACCCTTTGTCCACAGCCTCAGTCGTACAGTCTTCAGAAACCCGGACAACAGTCCTTGCTGTCTGGCTGGGGATTCTCTGTGTTTCTGCTTCTTGGCACCACAATGAGCTCCAAAGAGACTTTGTCCCTGAGGGAGCAGCGAGGGGCTCCCTTCCTCATTCTGTACAAGTTGATCAGGGATTTCTCTCTGCCTCCTGCAGAGCCAGTCATCAGGACCCTGCTTTGTTTTTTTCTCTGCTGTTTTCCTGCAAAGGAACATACTGTGGTTCTGTCATATTAACTGTTTCATCATATCGGGAGGATGGGAGCAAAAGGAAAGCCGTTACCCAGATGCCAAATGGCTGAAATGCATGTGGGGTGAGAAGCCAACTTGTCCCAGCACCCTGCTTGCATTGGTACCATCAAGAGACCCTCCCCGAGCTCTTCATGTCTTTTGGGAGCTTCCCCCTTTCTCGTTGCTCTTTTCCCCGCACCCCCAAGTGGAGCTGGTTGATGTTTTTCCTTGCAGAAGGGTAGGGAGCTTGCAGGCAGTGTCTGTGGCCAGATCACATCACAGAGCTTTGTAGTCTGATATGATGCCCCGAAGAATTTTCACAGCCAATATTGAACAAGTCAGCCTGAAAATACAGCTGGACCCTATAACTGTTCATTTATTCAGACGAAGTGAAGCTTTTTGGCTAGGAGCCCCTGTTGAGGCCTTGGGGTATACAACTGCAGAATACTGATGATTCTTCCAAGTTTGGACATGGGACTCAAACTGAGCTCCACAGTATAGCCCCTGTCCACTAGCAGGGATCCTCCGCCAAACCCTGGAAGGTGGTAGGTCTGGCTTCCGCTGGCCCCAGCTGGGGGAACTCTCTCCTCTGGAGAATGGGGGGTGGGGAGAAGGGGTTGTAAAAAGCTGAGCCTTCAGTTTTGACTTGCTACCCTGTGTTTTCATCTAGAATCAGAATATAATAAAATGAACTTTTTTACTGAAACTTTTTTTTTCTTTTTTTTTTACCTCTTGCCTCTACTTTTTCCAGCGGGGCCTTAAGTATCTTGGAAACACAACACATGGAATCTTGTAGATGGGAATGAAGGCTGGCATAAGTATATATTGGGAAAGTCTTTATTTCCTGGCAAATTTAATATTTTTCTCTTTTACCACCACTCCCACTAATACCACCTATGTCTAAAGCCACACACTTTCCTAAGGGAAGGCAAGCCATTCAACATGAAAGATGATAAAATTCTACCCAATTTGCACATCCATCTGGTGTAAATTATTACTGAGTGACTCTGGGTTTCAGTAATAGAGTTTAAATAAATTTGTTTGAAAATGCTAGAGATAACTTGGTTCAAACTCAGCTCCCTTTTAGAAGCCTACAATCTAAGATAACTTTCCCTTCGATTCATTGTGAAGGGAATATGTATATACTTTTAGTGTAAATGAAGTCTAAAGCTGTATCTGTACAATAAATATTTGCATTAACATTCAATTAAAAAAAATAGTCCTGTTTCTTGATGCCAGAGAGGCAGAACAGGAGGATTGGCTGCTGGGTTTGGAGCCAGTATGCCTGAGTTTTCATCTCCACTGTCGCAAACTGTGACTTCCCCAACTTTAATCATTAATATTCTTGTACCCAGTTCCCTCCTCTCAGAAATAAGGGTGTTAACTTAGTAAGATGGCCTTTCCTGAAACCCACTGCTCTCCATGAGCACACCGTATGCTCGTGGCCAGATGGCTGATGTTCATGGTGGTAGAGTTGAGTCAAGGAACACCAACCTCCAATACTAGAAAAGTTCAAGACAGAATACCCTGCTCCATCAGCCCCCGAATACCATTTTCAAAACATTTCTCACTTTGGAAACAGAAACACCCCTAACCCAAGTTCGAGGGCCGTCGTTGGGTTAGAGCACTTTCATGATGAAAGAATGCCCTGCCCCAAAGCTCAGAGCAAGTAGGTTTTGAGAGCCGAGCATCATTCGTGAATAGGGCTGCTAGTGGTGACAGTTTAACTGGGTCCTTAATACACTTGGGAAGAAGCAGGAGAGACAATGCCCTCTGTCTCTGAACAAGATGTGGGGAACGAGCTTCTCAGGAAGAGGGGCCAACATTGGAGAGACTTGGACGTCAGTGGTTTCACTAACTCCTAATCAACGTGCAGGGATGCAGGCCACGGGGAGTTCCTCGCAGAGATCAGACCCCCGGGCACAGGCCATTGGTTACCTCGGAAGGTGTTTTAGTTCCACGGGTTCTTCTCCCTCCCCTCCTCTTTTGTATACCATGTTCTAACTTCTGGCCAAGTTTAGTGAGTGACACATGGCAGGAAGCACTTTTATTTGAAACAGCTCTCCCAGGATAACCGGCCTTTTCTCCATGTTCATATAGAAAAACCCGAAAGTATCTTGGCACCAACCAAACTTTACCATCCTTTTGTATAGCTGTATCAACCTTGGCAGCATTTAAAAGCAAGGCAACTCTGAAATGGTTTCTTTAGGGTATACGCATGTTGAGGCCTAAGGCACATGCGTGATAGCTGCTTTCCATAAGACTCAGACAGTAGCCAGCTGCCAAATGGAAAGATGGAATCAGTGACTCAGAGTGCCCCATGGTTTATCTTAATTAGCTACTTCATAATCAGCATGGTTTGTATACGTAAATGTATTCACAGTGTTGACAGGCTCGGTTCTAGCTGTTTAAAATACACCAGTGTATGTACGAGGAGGGCCCATTTTTTCATGACTTGGTACTTACGGTCTGTGTTACCCTTCCAATGAAGCAAAAAGATGTGGTAGAAAGAAAGGGCATCAAAATGCCACCTGCATTTGGATACCAGCTATACTGTATCGGCTTGTTAATCTCCTGGTGACCTGAGCCTTCATTTCCATGTCAGCCTCAAGGCTGAATGAAGGCATTGGCCATGTAGATGCTTTATAAATGCTTCCGGGAAAGTTGTTTTCTGAAACTCAGAAATCCTCTTTGAGCTTGTCTCCTGATAAGTTCTTTCTCTCACTTCCTTCAGGTGGTGTAGCAATCACACCGCCTCACACAGGACCATGGAGCCCGCCATCTCTCGTGTTCAATCAGTCCCCTTCCATGGTCCCAGGAGCCATGATGGGTGCTCAGCCTGCCGGATTCAGTCAACCAATGGTTTTTACCACAAGCCCGGCGGTTGCAGGTTGGAACCAGCCTTCATCCTTTGCAGCCTCAACTCCCCCTCCAGCCCCTGTTGTTTGGGGCCCATCAGCATCTGTGTCACCCAATACTTGGTCATCAGCCAGCCCTCTGGGGAATCCTTTTCAGAGCAATATTTTTCCAGTTCCTGCTGTGTCTACCCAGTCCCCTCCTATGCTCTCCTCTCTCCTGGTCACTCCTCCTCAACCACCTCCCAGAACTGGCCCTCCAAAGGACATCTCCACCAATGCCTTCGTTGCTTTGGATCCCCTCGGGGATCAAGAAGTCAAGGAAGTGAAAGAAATGTTTAAGGACTTACAACTGCGGCAGCCTCCGGTCCCCGCGAGGAAGGGAGACCAGCCTTCCTCGGGGACTTCAAGTGCCTTCTCGAGTTATTTCAACAGCAAGGTGGGCATTCCTCAGGAGAATGCAGACCACGATGACTTTGATGCTAACCAACTATTGAAAAAGATCAATGGTAAGCTACGCACTTCTCTGTCTACTATGCCAACAAGTACTAGTATTCCCCCTTCATATGGGCCCACAGAATCCATCAGAAGAAAACTCTCCCACCCACCAATAGCCTAATCAGTGGTTATGGAGACAACTTAACCATTTACCTTATGAAGCTAACTATTCACCTCACTAGAAAAGGTCTGGCCCTGTGCTGCCCTCTTGTGACAAATCTTAAGAGGGCTGCCAAGAGCTATTGATAGGCAATGGGTGCTGGTAGCTGGAGGGCTGTGTAGGAAAGCCTCCACCAAGCTCCATGGCCTCCAGTGGGGAATCTGAAGCTCTTTCACTTCAAGTCAATCAATATGCATGGTGTCCTCTTCTGAGAGGGATGGATTTGCCTGTAATAATTGGGAGCCCTCGTATGTGGTGGTGATGTTTGCTCCATTGATGAACATTTCAAAACCATGGAACTTACTTTCTAAGATAAGCCTGACCAGGGGCTGCTGCCTGTATTTGGGGAAAGCTTGTCTACTGATTACTTGGGTTTTTCACCTTCTAGAACCACCAAAGCCAGCTCCCAGACAAGGTGCCCCGCCAGTTACCAACTCTTCTGACAATGCCTTTGAGAACCCTTTCTCTAAAAATGCTTTCAGCTCGTCACAAGCCTCTGTAAGTATCAGCTGCTGCAAGCTGTCAATCATAGTGTGTGCCACACAGAGCTACTGCCTCCGCAGTTAACCTTGCTTGTAGGTATAACAATCCTGTGATGATAAAGGACGGTTGAATAAGATCTATCATTGAGAACCACCACCATGTAATCATGTAATCAACTCAAACTGGGGGAAGGTGATTTTTGCAGGGATGCCTATTCTAAACTTGAGAAATGAATATCATATAGAAAAAGTCTTTTGTATCTCATTGAACCTGGCTCATAAAAACATTTGAAAAGAAAATCAAACCAAAGTACTATATTTAAAAAATCTTTCATAGATTTAAGTTCCTGATTTCTCACCCATGATTCTTTAGCTCAAAAAAAAAAAATACTTCCCATTCTGGGGAAGCAAACATAATCTACCTGAACCTTGATTTTGATGTAAATAATAAATATACACCACCAGTTACAAGCTGGCAAATATAAATCATTGTAGACCCTTCTGTGACCTATGTGAATTTTAAAGAAATTAAAGAAGTCTTAAGTATTTTTTTCTTATAACTATAAGTATACTTATTGATTGGTTCGTTGTATCTCCATAGATGACTTCTCCTCAACCTGCATCTCCCGATGTATATAGGGATCCTTTCGGAAGTCCTTTTGCGTAACTTCTGTAAGTAGGGTGGCGTAGGGGGTGAGGATGAAATTTCAATTTTAGAATTGGGAAGAGGTTCAGTCTCTGTTATTTAGAAGTAATAGACATGAAAATCTATACTTAGCTACTTTTATAATGACTAGGCTGGTGTTCATATATATATGTGTATATGTATATGTATATGTATATGTATATGTATATGTATGTGTGTGTATATGTACATATATACACACACACATACATACTAGAGGCCCAGTGCATGAAATTCATGCACTCGGGGAGGGGGGGGCGGGGAGTCCCTCAGCCCGGCCTGCACCCTCTCACAGACCGGGAGCCCTCAGGGGATGTCCGACTGCTGGCTTAGGCCCGCTCCTAGGGAGAGGGCCTAAGCCAGCAGTTGGACATCCGTAACACTGCTGCAGAGGCGGGAGAGGCTCCCGGCACTGCAGCTGCACTTGCCAGCCGTGAGCCCAGCTTCTGGCTGAGCGGTGCTCCCCCTGTAGGAGCGCACTGACCACCAGGGGGCATCTCCTGCATTGAGCGTCTGCCCCCTGGTGGTCAGTGTGCCTCACAGTGATCGGTCGTACCACTGTTTGGTCGATTTGCATATTAGCCCTTTATTATATAGGATATATCAAAAGTAGTAATAGACCCCTGGGCATGTGGATTTCGATCATATCCTGTGTTTTTGATATTTCAGGTATCTATGGAAGTAAAACATAACATAACACCTACAGCTTTCTAGTTTTGTTTTGTTTTACCTTCATATTTAAGTGATTACAAAGCATCCTGGTAATTACTTGATTCCAATAGAACAGCGGTTTTCAAGCTTTTTCATCTCACGGCACACCTAAAGTAATTACTAAAATACTGTGACACACAAAAAAATACTATATTTTTTGCCGGTCTGACAAAAAATAGGTATAATTTTGATTCATTTGTACTGGATGGCTATTGTAGTGTTGGCTGTTGTCATTTTTTTTCATTTGAAAATCTAAGGGAAAAGAGGTCAGTGCCCCTGACTAAAATAGTCAGATATTGCATATTTTAAGAATTCTGGCATACTGGTTGAAAATCACTGCTATAGAAGGTTCAAAATCTGTAGACCTTCCGAAGCCACAAAACAGGTCAGCTAAACAGGTAATGATCACAATACTCTGCCTCCCAAGTACTTATTTCTTTGTGAGAGCCTTCAAAGCTAGTCTTAAATAGTCTGATGGCATTAAATCCCCAAGTGGGACAGTTGCCAATACCTCCTTCAAAAACAGTGTCAGTGCCAATGAGTTTGAAAGTTGATCCTTCCCACTAGTGGATTTCATCCTAAGTAAGTTATTGATGTAACCACCCTTTCTTTTTCAACAGTGAGTGGAAGCAACTTTGATTGACATTAAAAGATTGAAGTTAGTGGAGGGAAGGAGGTATATCTGCATTTAGGAGATGGGCATAGCTGGCTCAGGAGACCCATAGGAAGAGTGAAAAGAACCATCTTCTATCTGACAACAATAAGACTGAGTTTATTTGCAATTTGGATCACCTACCCCTCAATGCGTTTCTACAG